ATCCTCAAACCCTTTCCTAACAATGCTCCTGCCTTACTCTCTCTGGCATGGAAATTACATGTATAATCCATACAGCCTGCAAAATGCCTTCCCATTGGCAACGGGCAATATGTTTCCCAGTAATGATTTAATGTGTTAATTTTTTCAACTGTATTTAGGAAGCCAGGTGTGATGGCTCAGGCTGGTAATTCTAGCCCTTGGGAGGCTGAGGCAGGAAGACAGCTTCTAGATCTAGACCAGCTTGGGTTACAGAGTCCCAGGCTAGCCCACATCTCTCACAATAGAACAGACTTCTTCACACGTTTATTCTCAAAAGCCCTCACATCACTCGTTTCTTTTAATGTTACTTTTTCTTTTTTTTTTCCAACCTACTAGGAGCAAAGCATGATGAAGAGTAATTAATTATCCTGCTTAATTCTAACGCCTTCCTGGGAATCCTTGTGTGGTGGAAAGAAACCGGGAACCACTTCTAACCTTCCAAAGTAACTTCAACAGTGTACAGCTTTAACACTTGTAACAGAGTTACAACTCTGGCTCCAAAGACTGGATAAACAAAGCTCAGTTCTCCCGCCCCACATTGGTACCAAGCAGACTTCATTCCAACTCCAAAGCCGATATTATCCATTATTTTCCACTCTCCCCTACTCCCTTCCCTGATCTTCTTTAGATAACTACAACTGCAGTAACTTGGACAGGGGCTATGGTCAGCACTTTGCAAATCGGAAAATATCAATAACTTACTCAAGCGGTGAGTTTATAATAGCCAGGCTCTTTAAGAAAACAACTGTAAGGCTATAGAGGAATGCACAGAACCAAACACTGAGAATTAAGATAAAATCTTTGAGGCGGGGCGATCTCGTCTAGGATGCCTGAGTTTTAGAGTTACATTTATCTGTGCTGCTTGAAGTGTTTCAGAGCGACCTGGGGATGGTTGTGGAGATGGTGGATGCTCTCTCTGTCCGCGGCCTCCCACATGCTCACTTGCTGGCTCTTTGTTCTCCCAAGGTGGACTGAACTTTCATAAGCAATATTCCCATGGGCTGCAGACTGTATCCAAGTGAACACTGCCTATATTTACTTCCTTCCCAGGGCGGCAAAACCGCTTCTGTCTGCACAGCTTTGGAAATATCTCACCGTGTTCTAACCTGACCCTGACGTGGCAGCCACCCAGTAGTTCCCAGAGCCAGGATTTCATAGTCCAGCCACCCTTCCTCTCAAAGAAAAATGGGTTCCAGGAGGTGGTAAGGGGACCGACCCTTGCTGACTACCTGAGAAGTCAGTGTTGTGGTCCCTGCCCCTGTCCCCAAAGCAGGAGTTCCAAAACTAAAAGAGGCAGAAGAGACTAAAGAGGAGGAGCACTACGCCCATCCACAAATCACAGCTTCTCACAGTGGTCAGCTGACAGGAAAACAGGAAGCCCAGAAGAGGCAGGGGATGCCCCTGTCCAATAGCCTTGGTCACTATGCCCATCAGAACCCAGCTTGCACCTCAAAGAGAAGACTCAGTCAAACATGCTCTTAATCCTCTCACAAATGTTCACTGAGCCTACGTTGTGAGCCAGGTATCATCAAAGGTAAAACGCCTACCCTTATAAACAGGCAATTTAATTGAGAAAAACATCTCAGGGGCTGGAGAGATGGCTCAGTGGTGAAGAGCACTAGGCTGTTCTTCCAGAAGACCCAGGTTTGATTCCCAGCACCCACATGGCAGCTTACAGCAATCAGTAACTCCAGTTCCAGGAGACCCAACATCCTCACATCAGCATACAAGCAGGTAAAACACCAATTCATACAAAATAAAAATATTTTTTAAGAAAGGAAAAATATCCAGAGATAACATAAGTATATTACATGAGAGAATGTGGTTTGAATGAAAATGACCCCCACAGTCTCATATATTTGAATGCTTGTTTGCCATTTGGTGGAACTGTTTGGGAAGGATTAGGAGGTAAAAGGGTGTGACACTGGGGTGGACTTTGAGGTTTCAAAAGGTGAAGCCATTCCCAGTTTGTGTTCTCTCTCTCCCTCTCCCTTTGTTTCTCTGTCTTCCCACACACACACACACACACACACACACACACACCACCTCTGGTAGTTATCTCATCATGAGAGCTCTCAGCTACTGCTCCAGCACCATGCCTGCCTCATGCCTGTCCGCCTGCTCCCCACCTGGGTAGTCATGGACTCAGTATCTGAAACAACAAGCCCCCAGTAAATGGTTTCTTCGGTCAGCTGGTGTTTTCACTTCTCACAGCAGTAGAAAAGTGAAAACTAAGTCAGAGAATCAGAAATTTAGGGAGAAAAAAATGGAGGCATGGAGAGATAGAGATAGAGGGAGAGATAGAGGGGGAGGGAGAGGGAGAGGGAGAGGGAGAGATAGAGATAGAGGGATAGAGGGGGAGGGAGAGGGAGAGGAGGAGGGAGAGGGAGAGGGAGAGGGAGAGGGAGAGGGAGGACAGGGAGAGGGAGGACAGGGAGAGGGAGGACAGGGAGAGGGAGGACAGGGAGAGGGAGGACAGGGAGAGGGAGGACAGGGAGAGGGAGGACAGGGAGACGGAGGACAGGGAAAGGGAGGGCAGGGAGAGGGAGAAGGAGAGGGGTGGAATATGCAGGAGAATAAATTATAACCCTCAGACAAAAGTTTGTGTTTGTGAAAATGGGCAATCCAAATTATTTTAACCCTTGGACTTTTGTATGCCTAGACTCCTACTAATAACAAATTTAGCATAACCATAAGAGGAAAAGATTACAGTGCTCTCTCCTTCATCTCTGACCTGTTAGCCAGTCTGCTGGCTTCTCTTCGAAAAGAAGTCTAGAATCAGCTTCAACTCTCATCATTTTAGCCCCTATTATTTCCTTTAAACTCAATAGAGCCCATAAACTCTCACACTGCTAAAATCTGCCCATTGCATTTCTATGTTCCTACAACTGCCAGACCAGAGCTGCCGGGTGGCACGTCACTCTTGACTGCCCAGCATTCCTGTGTGACTGAGTGAAGACAAGCTCAAGGGGAATATACTAAGTCTGAGTTGCTCAATACATGTTCAAAGGTCAAGAGTCACACTGCAAAGGGCATCTCATCCCGGCACAATCAACAGGAGAGTCTAGGTCTCTAAGAAACAAAGTATCTTCTCTCGGTAGGCTTTCTCCTTATTTCCATTTATCTTTTTGCATGGTACCATGTGCCTGTAGTTCCAGTCCTCCAAAAGGTAAGGCAACAGGAACCTGAATTTGAGGCCAGCCTGGGTTATATGTTGTAAGCCGTGTCTCTGAGAGAAGAGAGAAGTTTCTGCATATTCACAAGATGGAGACAAAGGAAACACTAGAGAAGTCCAAAGCCACCGGTATTCGAAACCTGCAGGAAGATGGAGTCCACATCACTCTGAACTCCTTACAAATGAACTCTGTACAACTGAGTCATAAACTTCTGAAGCTCACGCAGCACTGATAGGCAGCTCCACCCTCCACATCCTGCTGGATGGAGAATAATCTGAAGACTGTGGGCCCTTACTCACCTGTCCTACTGATTCCTTCCCAAGGCAGTAAGCACATCAAACACTCCAGAGGGTCAGTGGAACAGGTGGGTCAGGGTAAGTAGGTGGGTGGGCAGCACGAAAGTGTCTGGGGAACAAACTGTTTTCCTACTTCCCAGTTTACAAGTCCCCTGTCCTACAGTCACCCTCTGCAACAGATGACTAATACACCAGATACTCTACTTAATCCACCATAAATTAAGCCACTGTCCCCAGTGCTGGACGTACATAGCCACTTGGCCTCTGCTGCACTCTGGCAGGATGCTACCAAGTTCTTGTTCTCCAGTCTAACACTAAACCCCATGGTGCTTCCCAGGGCCTCACAAAAATGCTCAATGGCCTCCTTCCTTCTACCATAACTTTCTCCACGAAGCCAACCTGCTGCACAAGTTGTCCCTGCTGTTTAGGGGGACTCATGGCCACCCAGCTGCCCAGAACGCTCCACTGTCTGCTAACCCCTTTAACCAGAACCCTGCCGTCTCCTACCCACTCCTGAGTTCTCAGGAAAGTCTCCGTTGTCACCATAGACCCCGACCCCACACCACACCTACTAGTTTTAGTAATACTGATTTTAGGTAGAAGCATATCCCTTATTTCTCCAACCTGACTCTGCTCCCAAAGGGCTGTCGCCAAACTGGCCCAGGTGCAGACAGTCGCGAGCAATTAACCTGAGCGCATAGTTTAGGTCCGTTGACCCCTCAGTGACATTTAGTAGAAGGTTGTGAAAGGACCATCATCTAAGGTCCCTTGTACCAGGGCTCCTTATCCAAAGGAATCATTCTGACCCCCTAGGCAGAAACACCACAATTTCCCTTCCCTGATTGAGCAGGTGCTCTAGCTAACAACGCAAACTGATACCAATCTCCAACAGCTTTGAGTAATAACTTTTAGAAGGGGAAAATGCCTCGTTTGGGGGCAACTTCAAAGCCTTTCGTATTTTTATCCTATCGTTCCTCAGAAGACATTGAAAGGTGAAACAAAAGCGGCATGCTTAACTTCGCTACGCAACTGTAGTGCCTCAGTTTCCCCTCGGACAGTCCCCCGCCTCCTGAACAAGAAAGTCGTGGATCTCTAGAGCCTCGCCACGATCTGGCCTTAAGTCCGCAGCTGCAACACCACCTGGAGCCACAGCTGCGTCCAGATGGCCAAGTCCGGGCCTGCCTGGGCGCACCCTTCTGTCACCTGGCGGGGCCCTAGGGCGCCCCGATCTCGCTGCCTTGGGGCAAGCTCTAGAAGCTGCATCTCCAGCGTTCTCGAGCCAGGTCACACCAGATGCACCTGCCTCTCCCGGCCCTTGGGTCCCTGAGCTCCAAACCCGACCGGAGCTCGCGTGAGCAACGCAGGAGAAAGGAAAACAAGCCATAGACAGGGCCGTCCTGGCCTCGTCGGCTGCCACCGAGCCACCACCTGCGACGCGGCCGGGCGGCAGGGACAGAGGCCGGGCCGGGCTGCCGCGCGCGCCCCTTACCGGTGAGGCGGCCGCCCCCCTCGCCGTGCCCGCGGCGCCGCTGCAAGACGAAGTAGCAGCTGCTCTTCTGGGTCACCCAGAGCTTCAGCGCGTTCTTGAGCAGCACCTCCTCGGGCTTGAGCCACATCGCGGCGAACCTGCCGCGCCCGCGGGACCCGGTTCACATCGCCGCAGCGGCCGGCTGCACGGGGCCGAGCCCGCTATGAAGGAGGCGGGGGCTGCGCGCGGAGACAGCAGCGGGAGCGCCTGCCGAGCCCCGGAGCGCCGAGACTACAGCTCGCAGAGCTCACCCCGCGCTGCCCGCCGTGGCCCCGCCCCGGCTAGTCCCCGCCCACCCGCCGCGGTCCCGCCCAACCTAAAGCCACGCCCTCCGCCCTCCCCGAGGAGCCAGTGGCGCCTCCCTGATTTCCTAGTCCCTGCGGCTCCTCGCCAGGGTTCCGGAGTGGCGGGAGGAAATCGGAGCCATTGCCAGGTCTCCTCCCTCCGGTCTGGGACGCGCCGAGTCCCGAATCCCCTCCTTCCCGGGAGGAAGCGAGCAACTGTGCGAGTTGTCTCCATGCTCCTGGTTTAATAGCTGGTGGAAGGACCTAGGGGGAAAAAACATCTTGTTATCCAAGCTGCAGGTTGCCCGATCCAGAGTCTTAACCTTAAGGAGCACAATGCACGCCAGTAAACTGGAGTGTGTTCGAATTTCAAATAACCAAAAGCTAATACTGAAAATCGGAGACCATTGAATCTGGATTTTTTAAAATTCTGCGCTCTTTATTTTTTTTTAATTAACACATAATAACCATGCATACAAAATGCTACATATTTTAGTCCATGTATACAGCGAGGACAAGGTCAGAGAAATTGCTTTCTGTTAATTCAAACATTTATATTTCTTCTTTATTATAGTTTATGTGTTGGTGGTGGGGGCGGTCGGTCAAGAGAGTTTGGCACCTAGAAGTCAGAAGACAACTTTCAGGAGTCAGTTCTTGGCTTCCATTATGTGGACCCTGGAAATCCAACTCAGGTCATCAGGCTTGGCAGTAAAAGTCATTTTTGGCAGCCCCCACTTATTATTTCTCTTACAGAATATTTTTCCATGCTTTTGTAAGGATCCAGCTGAGCTATAGGAGAGGTAGTGACATAGGAACCGGAGGCACAAAGCAGACCATACTGAAACTGAATGTCCCTCGGAGACATAGAAACTAGAAGACACCACTGTGAGACTCACCCCTGTGGGTCCTCTCCACAGGAATAAAGCTCTTGTGTCTATTCTGAGGAAATGTAATTTAAAAAGATTAAAAACAAAACACTAGACTATGAGAGCAGGTAATAGGAACGAGAAGCCATGGGGCATGTGGATGCAGGATTTTAAATAAATATTTCTTCTAGGCTGTAGTAGACATAGATATGTGTTAGCTGTCCTTGAAAAGGCCCAGGGGAGGGGATCCAAGTGTCCTCTGTGGGGAGGCAGTTAGATCCAATATCTTAGCCAAAGGGAGGGGAAAGGTTCCCTTTGTCCCTGGGTTTTGACAAAAGGACAGAATGTGGTTGTTAAGTAGGACAGAACAGGAAAGTATAGGCTGTCCTGGGGAGTCCTGGGGAGGATCAGAAACTCTAGTCACATGCAACAAACAGGAGCCCTGTAGAAAGCAAAGTGAGACAGGGAGGTTGGGGAATGGGGAGGATGGTGAGGGGAGAAACAAACAAGTTTTAGAGCCATGTTGTATACAAATATCACCATGAAGCAAACCTATTTCTCTGCAGACCAATCAAAAAATACAGAGAGAAAGAAGAAAAGAGGTAGGGGAAAGAGGGAGAGAGAGAGAGAGAGAGAGAGAGAGAGAGAGAGAGAGAGAGAGAGCGCGCTGGTACACTGGCCAGCCACAGGCAATCATCTTCTGAAGAAAACAGAGGAAGTCTACAAGCTATAATCACAGGCACAGAGCCACACCAGAGTCAAAAGAGACAGGGATGGATGGCAAGGAAAGATTCCTTCACAAAAAATTCCCAGGCACCCTTTGCTCTCTGAAGCACTGCAGGCCAGAACCATAGAGGTGAATTAGATATTAGTGTGACAAGAGTTTTCCTGGGAAAATGCAATACACACATCTACTCACCCCAGTATGGACGCCACCAAAGTCCAGTTTGGTGAACCAATGAGTTTTCTTGAGGTTACTTACAGGAATATGGGTAAGAGGTTACTTACAAGACCAGAAATGACTCAAAGACAGTTGCATCACCGAAGCCCACCCCAGCATGGGTGACAGCTCACAAAGTTGGGAACCAGAAGCACAGTGCCCAGCCTGAGAGCAGGAGAGTGTCCTTTCTAGGTACCTCAGTTGGTCTACCCTCTTCCAGGTAGATGATCTGGTTTCTGCTTCTTCCAGGCAGCTGTTCTAGTCTTAAGAGTTTTCTTTGCAGCCTTGCTCTACTGCATCTGAGAGGGATTCTTGGCTTTTATTGTTACTCTGGCAGGAAGGGGTAGCAGGCAGTGGGGGGTTGGGGGGGTAGTGACTCTAGACAGTTTCAGGGACTTCCTGAAGCTATTTGTTTACCCTCCCGCTTAAGGAGCTTCCGTGTAGGATGGAATATTTTAATCTTGGTGGAAACTGTTATACACCTGCCCTAAAGATTCACAGATGAGAAAAGAGACACAGAAAATTGATGTGGGCTGAGGACGCGGGGATGCACAAATCAAATGTTCAGGTGCTGAAGAAATGGGTGGAGCAAGCTCTAGAGAACACCTTTCAGTAAACTAGAGCTTAAATAAAATACATATGGGCTTGCCACAAAGTCAAGCCTAATGGTTCCTGGATGCCCTGGCCTCCAGAACTGTGAGGCACATCTCTATTCTTTATAAATTATTCACTCTGTGGTATTCTGTGATAGCAGCAAAAAAAACCAAGCAGGACCTGCTACACACACCCAGTGAATATCAGCAGTTCTTACTGAGTGTAAAATCTGACCCATCCACAGTCACTCACATTGTAACTATTAAGTGCTTCCCCATCATATGTTAAAGGCGAGAGAAGTAGGGGCTGGAAAGATGGTTCAATGGTTAGAAGCAGGACCACTGTTCTTACAGTCTGGTTCCCAGCACTCAGACAGCTCTAGGGATCCAACAGCCTTTCTGGCCTCTAGACACTGCACTCACATGAACAAACCCACAGAGACACACATTAGCATGTGATTTAAAATATTTTTCACTCTTCCAAAGCAAAACTGAGGGGAACACAGTGAAGCTCCTCTGGCTTACCTCTCCTTTCATCTCTGAGGCTCCTGCCTCTGCCTTTAACCACCACCTATGTCAGAGAGGAGCCAATAGAAGGCAGAAACACTCAGGGGGCACTCTGTGGAGCTCAGCCTTCCAGACGCAGAACAAGAAAGGAGATCCCGGGGGGCTGGTGAAGAAGACAACCACAGGCTCACACAGCATCCTCCTGTCAGCCACCTCTGGGTTATTATGGGTTGGACTGTACCCCTCAAAGGGTCTAGGTTGGTGCTCTAGCCGCCCCCTAGCACCCCAGACTGTGACTTACTTGGAAATAGAATCCATGCAGATATAATTAGTCAGATGAGGTTATTAAGGTAGATGCTGGTACAGTGAGTGGGATCCTTACGAAAGGAAGAAGTTGGTGCAGGCACACAGTGAATATCATGCGCTGATAGAGAAATATCTTTGCAGTATAAGTAAACTGTAGGAGCCAGAGAAAGCCTGAAGCATCCTACTAGGTACCAACCCTAGCGACACTTGATTCTAGGCTTACACACACAGCACTGAGAGATAGTGGATCCCTACTTAAACAGTCTGGTGTGTGGCTTTGTAAGCCTCATCCCAGCAAAAGACTGTGGTTGCATCCTTGATCCTGACTACATCTATGCAGGATCAAGTTGCTTCCAACCACTCTGATATGGATTCTGGTTCTGGACAAGACCCTGTCTGATACCAGGAATGGCCTCAGGAAACAGTTTATTGACAGAGCAGTCTGACTGAGTTACTCCAAGTAGCCCTGGTGGTGGTGTGAGGGGTGGGTAAAGAACAAGGCTTGGGGGCTCTTGAGGCTAAATGTAGTTGCTATGGCAATGATGGTGAGTACAAAGATTGTACAATGAGATAGATGGTTGGTTGTGACTGCTCTGAAGAGTGAAAGAAAGAAACAAAGAAAGAAACAAAGAAACAAAGAGAAAGAAAGAAACAAAGAAAGGAAGAAATAAAGAAACAAAGAGAAAGCAGGAAAGAAAGAGAGAGACAAAGAAAGAAAGAAAGAAAGAAAGAAAGAAAGAAAGAAAGAAAGAAAGAAAGAAAGAAAGAAAGAAAGAAAGAAAGGAAGGAAGGAAGAAAGAAAGAAAG